TCAAAGTGTGCCTCCATGATTACCGGGCAAAAGAAGCAAAATTACGACGATTTGAAAGGAAAAGCTTTCAAAAAAATATCTAGAAATACTCGGGCTCACCAAATTTGTAGTGGTCTGGCTACCCAATAAGTCAGTTTACCAGGAGTGTGTGGCAAAGTAATAAAAATAATTACGCTAAGTTGGGTATACAAAAATAAATAGGTCAGATGGAACAGACTCACTAACAATTGTTCTCTTTAAAATAGTTCGTCGTTGGCCCAGGTCAGCGAATAAACAATAATCCAATAGTGTTGGTCCAGAGGTCTTCTTCTGAACAGTTTCCACATATAGTAGATTCCGAAGATAGTCTGAAATGTTTTGGGTACCAGAGTTAGTATATGAGACTCGCGAATGACCACTGCAAGCGCGAGCGAAATCAGAAGAGAGAGTTGAAGCACGTGACCACGCTTGTATTATGTGAAATTGTACAAGGGCGCGTTTTTTTTGTAGTTTCTCGTATTCAAACGAAAAACGATTATGCAATTGATGAAATACCTAGTGTTATAATGGAAGTAAAATAAAGGTACAAAAACGCCACACAAGTCCGTCAATCAAATTCTTCCGGCTATATCCCAGGTTGCTGTTGCTTAAATAGGACCTGAAGGTTTGTTCGCAAGCGATCATCCATGTAGTATTGAGGACACTGTCTGTGGTAAAGCCTAAAGAAATTTTCCATAAACATACCGTTTTATATTGCGGTGTTCTAGTACGCATGTTAAGCTTGACTGACGATTTACAAGCTGGATGTTTGATATAAACAACAAAAACTTAATGCAGCTTTATACACATTTGCTGAAAGCACTGGCGTTATCTACCTGTGATTTAGAGCCTGCAAGCCCATGTCAGACACACTCCTTACTAGCAAGAATCCGGACGCCTTAGCCTTTAGTTCTGGATAATGTTCCTTAACAGCGAACTCATCTCCTATTTTGAAGTAGATAATAGTGAGTCCAGGCCTCTCAAAATGAGTGTCGTACTGTGGGTTATTTCGAAATTTTGTAGGTTTAGGTTATGCGGAAATCGAAAACAGTAGTGAAACAGTGTTCTGCATTTTTGGCGAATAAGAATTAGCAAATACTTTCCCAATATAAAGACAGTTGCTGCTTATCTGGATGCACTAATTTTGTGCATTATTACCCCAAAGCATGCCTCTTATTCTGACTTAACTAGCGGCGTAAATTTCCACCTCAAAACCCAAAACTTAAAGAAAAACCTAAGGATATGTTTAACACAAAACCGCCCTGTGCTTTCACTCGTTTTTACTTCCGAACAACTCATGTCTGTCGATTTTCCCTCTGCGTTTAAAGTGGATGAGTGTCGTTATGGTACGATAAGCATAGATAAA